AGTCCCCCCTCGGGACTAATTGAGATCACTACACTCATTCTCACTTGCGATTCAAATAAGATTGGAGGATCTGTCACTAGGGATTTTTCTGTCAGAGTGGGAAAGGGACAGTGTCCCCATGGTGTCAGTGCAGCTACTTCCCTGCAAAATGCCTCGTTTTTACACTAGAAAAAAGATGACAGTTTTTTGAAATACCACTTAATTATTTCGGTTTTCTATATTATTCTACCTATGAGTGTGAGACCCTGGAGTCCTACAATTGCCATTAGACTCATTCCTCTAGCAGGCTACATGTGCTAATGAAGGGGGAAAAAAACCTAATTATAATTCTCTAAATAGCTGTTTATTAATGAGCCATCTTTTTCCTTTTAACCTTGTAAGCTGCTTTGCTGGTTGCATCAGGCTGAACACACATTTTGCTTTATAAAACATCAAAAATAAATGTTTAAAGAGGAGGAGGCAAAATAACACCTTAAGTGCAATGTTGGTATGTAAATCACTTTAAATATTTCAAAACTGCTCCATATAATTCTCAATCAGGAAAGACGTTTACATAGTTTCCTTTTCTTTGTACTGCTTTACATCTAATACCAGTATTTACTGAACATTGCTCCCTGGTTACCTATGGTATACTGAACGACTAATCCAAAGTGCAACTGTATTTTCAACGTAAATTTTACAGTACGGAATTAAGAGTTGTTCTGTCATCATATAAAGGCATGAAAAATGGTCACTTATTTGTTCTTTCTGCCTAAACAAGCCTAGATGCTAGAAGCAGAAAAAAAATGGAATGGATTTATTTCACTATTTAATATTCCTTGGATTGTATTTTTGTATTTCCCATAGTTCATCCAAGCATCAATTGTCCCTGAGTGAATCCACAGACATAGAAATTGACATTTTGCCCTCCAAAGCTAATTTGGCAACTGCCAATTCCAATTTAGTTTCAAAATGAGTTCCAGGGGTCATGTTAGGATGGTGGTTTACAGCAAAGGGGGTGATTTTGATAAGGTTATCACCGACTGAGAGCACACTAGGGGCTTGGGGACCATGCTGAATCAGACATAATTCACAAGTAAGTTCTGCAGCTATTGCAACATCTAAGGACCTACTTCACACAAGATCATTTAATGTGGGCCAAATATTCCAAGATTTTTTTAAAAAATTGCAAGTTTTCAATTTTTTTAACAATTAAATTATTCTAAATTTAAAGCTATGCAGTTCTTAATTCAAACATATCCTTATATTTTTACATAGCTCTGTAACAATAAAGCTATAAAAATAGAGTGTTTAAATTTGGGGCATAGAATAAAATATCCTGTTCTACAATGATCCCGGTAAACTGAGCTTTAGATACAAATGAGGCAGCAATTGCTTGGTTGTTTTTTGTGTTGGCGGCTTGGCAAACCGCAGCTCGTGGGCCACATGCGGCTCTTTGGCCCCTTGAGTGTGGCTCTTCCACAAAATACCAGCTCTTCCACAAAATACCGACTTCTGTACATGGACCACGAAGTTTCAATTGCACTATGTGCATGCCTGCACGTGGTATTTTCTGGAAGACCAACACACAAGGGGCCGAAGAGCCGCATGTGGCTCACGAGCTGCTGTTTGCCGAAGACGGGCTTAGACCATGTTTGTATCTGCTTTATTTTTATTTCCAGCAGCATACTGTCTCAGAATATTAATCTCTGTACTTTTATTTTTTCATACTTATATTTTGCAAACTTTCCCTAGTGAGTCAGTGACACCTTCACTTCCTCAAGTAGAATTACCACAGCTTTAGTAGGAAGGCAAAAGAAAGAAATGTTTAGTGCTCAATATTTTTACTTCCAAAAGAGACTCTCGAAGTTCCTCTTGAAATACTAGCTTTGACCAAGTGCCCATAAATAGATTAGCAGATTTAAAACCCCCCACAAAAAACAACTGTACACATTGCAATACTACTCGGCAGTGGAAAAAAAGGAAATCTTACCTTTTGCAACAGCATTTGATAGACCTGGAGAGTATTATGCTAAGCGAAATAAGCCAGTCAGAGAAAGACAAGTACCATATGATTTCACTTACATGTGGAATCTAATGAACAAAAGAAACAAACAAAATAGAAACAGACTCATAGATGAAGAGAACAGAATGACAGCTGTGGGGGGAGGGCGCGGTTGGGGGCTGCGTGAAAAGGTGAAGGGATTAAGCAAAAACAATAAATACACAAAATGACATTTATAGACACAGGCCACATATTGGTGATTACAGAGGGAAAGGGGATGGGGGGAGGGAGATGAGGGTATAAAGGGAATAAATGGTGATGGACAGAGACTTGAATTTGGATGGTGAACACACAAATGCAATATACAGGTGATGTATTATAAAATTGTACACATGCAATGTGAATAATTTTATTAATCAATGCCACCACAATATATTCAATTAAAAGAAACAATTTTAGTGGTTTCCCTAAAGTTTGCAATTAACATTTATAAGTAATCCAAGTCCATTTTTAAAGAGCCCTATACTACTTCATATGCAGTGTGTTTCCTACATTAACAAAATAATTCTAATTTCTCCCTTTAATCCCTTGTACCATTGCTGTTATTTACAATATTTTACTTATATATAAGCATACACAAGTATATACATATGCATATACATGTATGTATGTTTATGTCGACATGCATGTGTACATATGTACACATATATGTATATATACACACATGTAAGCATATATATAAAATAGTTTAGAAAAAAACCAAACAAATAGAAGAGTCATATGCAGAATGACCACACAACACTGTAATCTCTACTAGATAACTACAGATTGCTTTAACATCCTTGCTAATATTCATCATGTGAAGGAATCATGATTTACAAAATATTTTATGAAAATAAACACACTTCTTTCACATATATAAGACCATAGAATTTCCTCCCTGATTTAATTTCCCATTATTTCTCCCTCAGCCAAAAACGAACAGACCCATTTCTATGGTCAAACTATTTTATTTTTGGTGGGTTGAGAAAAGATTGTTTATATTCTTTAATCTAAGCATTGTCAGCAGTTTCAGGAGTCCCATTTTGAGTTTTCATATATCTGTACATTTTTCAATCACCATTGCTTCCTCCTGTCACTGTATTCCTTGAAGGATTACAGTTACAGAAGCTACAGAATTAAATGGTACACATACTCCTTTCTCAAACCCTTTGAGGAGGAAGGGGAGGAAAAGCCTGGTGCAGGTAACTATTATAACTTTGCCCTTTATGGTTCTCTTTTAGATTATTTGTTAAAAATATTAAATTTTCATGTGCTCTGCAGAGCCTAGCATGGTTTATAAGATGAAAAGAAAAGAAATGTTATTAACTGCTGCACTGCCAAGGGATAGTCATTACCTGCCTGTGTGCATTAGAGGAATTCTTAGTCATTTGGGTTGCAACTGTCTTGAACTGTAATGTTTTAGGATGTGCCCTTGCTGTGGTTTCAATGCCCATGTCCAAGGTCATGAAGATCACACGCTTTATTTTGTGCCTGCAGTTATCACATGGAGCAGTGAACACAGAGAATATTTGTGCAGCCTGCTTGGCTCAAATCTCTCTCTTTCTCTCCCTCTCTCCTTTTATATTAAACAAACTGGCCTGCTAGATTATTTTACACAGCTAATATGCCTGAATAAATGCTTTCCAATTTTTAAGGTGATTATTTAAAATTAAAAATATCATTAAGAGTCATTCTAGTGTGGACTCTCTTTGAATAAAGTGGATTATAGAGCAGCGGGGATGTATGAATTGGGTAAGGAATTCAAATCCTCGCGAAGTGCTTATTGCTTTTCTGACATGGACACAGCAGCAGCCCTGTCTATGTCCTTCCAAGAGCTACCTGAACAAGCCCTTTTCATTAGTCACAGCATCTTCGGAAAGGACTGCCTGCTGCCAGAGTGTGGAGGACCATGAACTACTAGAATCATAGAAATGCCTCGATCAAGTCAGATAAGCATCCTTGCAAATGCTCAGAGCACTTTGAAAAACTCCCGTATGACAGATTATAAATGTGTATTACTACTAACCCCATCACCCAACCCCCCCAAAAATATATAGCCCTGCAAAGGTAATTCCCAGTGACTTTATAGCTCAGTTATTTTGCCTTTTAAAGCAGGTTATCATCTCTGGGGTTTTAAAATGTCAATGTCTCTGCAGGGTCTTTCTGTTCTAAACAGGGATAGGTAGAAGAACATTTTACCATCTGTCTTTTAAAGTTAATATTAAGAAATACAGGTTTGCAACCACTCAAGCATCTCAAGTCAGATACGCTACCTCCTTGAATGATTATCTCATTTGACTTACCTGGTGTTAACTGCATTCCAAAAGAAGAAGGATGCTGGTTTTAAAAACTACATCATTTCAATAGTAAAGGCATTTGTGTTAGAAATATAAAGTCAACCTACACGCTCAAAAACAAGTATACACATACCTAAGAACAGCGCAAAATAAAGAAACCTAATGAAAAAGCAAGTATTATGTCTTTCGTAGACTATTTTAGAATAAAGTGTTCATTTTTTAATCTAAAAAATTATATGCCTCTGGTAACAACTGTACTCAATTAAAACCCATTCTTTGTTCAAAATATTTCATTGTTATTTGGGCCCAATCAGGAAAATCTTTACCAGAGCAATAAGCCAACTAAGGGAATTAATCTTCAAGATTTTATCTCTAAAAAAAAATTCCTATTCTGCTTCAGAAATCCCTCATCAGTCAACATTTTAAAAGTTGACAGCACTGGTCACTATAATAATCAATATTTCACATTAGTTTTGCTTAAAAATAAAAATACATTTTGTGACACACTAAAGCATATCTTCGATGGTAGAAATGCAGAGATATAGATGAGGACACCTTTCAGTTGACCTTCATTCGAGGCACATCTAAGTGACAAGAGCAGGGTGAGACTCTGTCTTACTTAGGAAGAGACTTAGTAACAATTATTGATGATGCTGGCAAATCAGATGGCAAATTACCTTTGAGAGGTCCCCGGCCTCCAGGTAGAAGCAGATAACAAACACATTCCACGTAACCCAGAGGACTAGCCAGACAGCATACTGTGGGAAAGCGAGAGAGAAACAACATATAATTAATTTTGAATCAGCTGAGTAAGATTTAAATAGAACTTGAACTTTTAAACGCAAGTTTTAAGATTAGTGGGAAATATTAGATATTGCTTGTTTCTAGGGAACAGGATGAGATGCACATTTATCTCTGTTGGTATGTTTCTCACTGTTATGGACTCTAGTGTTATAGCTCAAACTTGCTTAAGGATGCTTTTTAAGATTTAAGACAAAAGAAATACTAGCCCACATTCTATTTTAAGGGGCAATGATTATGACTTCTAGATATCTAAAGAACTGGATGCTCCAAAGAAGTATTAAATACAAACCATCAAAGGGAACTCATAGCCCTAACCGGTTTGGCTCAGTGGATAGGGCGTCGGCCTGTGGACTGAAGGGTCCCAGGTTTGATTCCGGTCAAGGGCATGTACCATGGTTGCGGGCACATCCCCAGTGGGGGGTGTTCAGGAGGCAGCTGATCGATGTTTCTCTCTCATCGATGCTTCTAACTCTCTATCCCTCTCCCTTCCTCTCTGTAAAAAAAAAATCAATAAAATATATATTTTAAAAAAGGGGGACTCATATTTTTCTTTGGCAAAAAATCAAACCATTATAATATAAATTTTCTCCAAATTATTTGGGTTTATCCACACATAGTCCTTCTATTTCTGTCCCATCTAATCAGCTTTCTCTTTCTGTGGTCTTCTTTTCATTTCCCTCTTTACCTTCTTATTTTATCCTCTCACAATCCCCTGTTACAGTGACCACGTAGCTATTATCTTTAATTTTATTCTGTTTTCAATTTATTTTGTCTTCTTCCCTGAGGATGAAGTTTTCTTACCAAGACATAATGCTGACCAGTCAGCCAACTATAATTGTTTAAGTATCTGGAAAATGACATGCTGGAAAGATATTGAGGAATCAAAGACCAGTGATAAATTCCCCCTGAAAGCAAATCAAGTGGTAAGGGTAGATTTAAAGAAAAAAAAGATGCTTATTATACAAAAATCATTAAAATAATGAGCACAAGCAAGGAAGATGGGAGAAGTGTAAACTTATTCTGAGAAAAACTAGTCCTACAAAGCTTAACAGAAGAGGTGAAACACCTTCCATAAGAAGTGAATCAAACAAACATATAAACTTAACCAAGATTGTGGGGGGGTTGAAGGACTATGGTGGAAGGATGCTGTAAACAAAGAAAACAGTGGATGGGAATTTTAAAAAGTGGGACAAGAGGATTTCATTTCTCTGATATGTAAACACCAATGGCTCCCATCCTATATAATAAAAGGGTAATATGCAAATTGACCAAACAGTGGAACTACCAGAACACCTGCGGCCCCTCACCCCAGCTGGCCCCACCCACAATGGGGGCCATCGGGGACAGGCTGGCTGGACCCCACCAGTGCACAATTTTGTGCACCAGGCCTCTAGTTCTTTATATGATGATTCTAAAACCATTATTTTGTCATTCAAGGACCTCCATAATCTTGTACCATTTTATATTTTTCAGACGCATTTCATTTAATCTTTCATCATGGATTTCAAACATATTGAATTACTTACAGTCCCATGTACATGGGTAGTTATTTGCCATCTCTGTGCATTTTTAAATGTTATTCCTTTATTCTTTAATAATTTTTTTATCCCTTAGGTATTCCTCTTACCATCTATCAATATTTTATTTTTCTTTAAAGGTCAATTTAAATATTACCTCCTAAATGATATTTAATTAGAATTGGCTTAATCCTGCTTAGGGTTCTAGTAAGACCTTGCTTGTCCTAATTTCATCCCAAATGTCTTATATCAATTTTCATAAGCTCCTCGGGAAAAGGGTCCATTAAAAAATGTATGTTTATGTCTCTAATTTAACTTAGTGTTTTGCACAAAATAAGCACAAAGAAAACGTTTTATAAATTGATGGATGAGGAGCAATATGGAAAAATCTTGGTATTTTCGGATGCAGAACCTCTTCTCCCCTCCTAGACCTGGTTTCTATGGGTGTACTATGATCACTCATGTAATGTGAGGACTGAGATCCCTGTATGATGAGTTAATGTGACACATAATAATGACTCAGCTGTTTTCCAGGTGATGGGTTCATCTAACTGCTGGATAGGTACAATGTTAGTGAGACTAAAGTAAGGGCAAAACTAAATGGTCTAAGACCAAAAAAAAAAAAGTGTTGGAGAGGCTGTTTGACTTGAGGGCTCAGGGCTAGAAATAAGGTAAAGAAGCTGAACTGTCTGCAGCAAAGATCTCAGTTCTAGCACACAGCTAGGGAAACATCTATGTTTGCTTAGTATTGGGAAGTGTAAATTCATCTCTCATTTTTAAAAAACAAAACAAAAATGTAAACCTATTCAACCGCTTTGAAGATCTAGATTTTAGTTTTAGAAATATGGTGAAATGTTGGGTCCTATTTTAAGGGTAACAGGGTGAGAAAAAATAAAAAGTGCCTGGAGGTTCCTGTGCCGTGGTTTAAGTGACTAAGAAAAAATAAAAGAATGAACAGAGTGTTTTGTCATGTCCTTTGCTCACGGTGACACCCGCTCCTTCCCTTACTAATAATGGACAGCTAAATAAGCACTATCTTCAGACTTCTATCTACTTAGGATGGAAAACAAAAATGCTTTCTACATAAACTTATATAGAACTTTCTTCCACTAATTGAACTTGCAGTCTAGTCTTGTTTTCTTTGTTTCCCTAATGCAACATATTCCTCCCTAGAATAAGTTTTCTTTTTTCACACCTTAATGCCAAAAGCGACAGATGGTATTATATAAAGCAAACCTTTCTTCATTTGATTTCATTAAGTGGTAATTTGTTATTTCTGATTTGCCATGCTATAAAATTATAAAGCATTTTTCTATATTGTATTTCACGAGTTGCTCTTTTATAGTATTAATTAGTAATGCTTGTGTTCTTTTTTTTTCAAAGCACACTACTTAAAATTACTGATTTATAGAGAGAGAGAAAGAGAAATATTGATTGTTGTTCCACTTATTTATGTATTCACTGGCTCCTGGTTGTATTTGCCCTGATGAGGAATCAAACCCAAAACCTCGGCATATCAGAATGACACTCTAACCAAGTGAACTATCCAGCTAGCACCTTTGTTCTCCTTTTTATTCCTTTCTGATCAGAGTCATCCAAAAGGGTATTTTCATTTTATTGACTTTATTATAAACAAGTTAGTTCACCTGCACTCTTTTTCATTAAAGGTTTATTAGAGAATTGTCACCTTTAGTGATGTGGCACTTTAATAAACAGAGAAACTCTGTTTGCTACAGAGGGTGACCTTTCATTTGCATCACCATCCAAAGGCAGGCCTTTATCTAATTTCACTGTATCTCATTTAACTTAATTCATTAACTTTCTCTCATTTAACTTCTTATACAGTCTTCCTTCATTTTTCACTTTTTTTTTGAAAAAAAAATTCTCTTTTGTTCTTGCTTTTCTCATTTTAACAACTGGCATTTACCTAAATCAAATCTCCTTTAACTGGATTTTACATAATAATTCTTTAATACTGAAGATTTTGTGTTCCCTTGTAATTTGGCCAATGAATGATTTTTGTCAATAAATCCTATGGTTCACACTGTTCAAAATATTACTCATCATAATTATTTAAGGGTGTAAAAATGTGTAGTAACGTCTTCCCAGTTGCTACAGCGAGTTGATGTGATATAATTGACAACTGCTCAGTTTGAATGTAATTGAAAATGATGTACTGCCCAGGAGATGGCCTAACAGGATAACAAAGTCTCAAGCTTGCAAGACAGCACCTAACTTACAGTTTCTGCTACAATTTTTCTTTATCCTCATCTTTTTTTGGCAAAAAAAATCTTATATTTTATGTTTAAGGTAACAATTATGAGATTATCTGTAATGATGGACAGATCCCATTGCATGATGAAACGCATTCTTTAAGGGTTGATTTCTGCAGGTCTAAGTGGACCATTTGAGAGATGGATTTGACTTGAGTCTCCAGCTCGATAGTCAGCATTATCAACTGAAAAAAACAGTAATTGAATCATCATGGGTTCCATATTGTATTTGGGGCTGTAATGATGAAATCTAATTAGCTGTGCAAGATAAAAATTAGATAAGGCTGTCAATCATGATAGGCCAAAATACTGGCCAGATCCAGAGCCACAGTGATATTGCATGTTGTGGTTCCATAATAACTAGGATGGTAGTGCCTCAGACAAAAGACTGATAAACATCTGCCTGGAAAATAATGAATCGCACCTTTATAGCACTGCCAGTGTTTCCACTTCTTTCTCTTACAATTAAGCTTCCTAAAATGGAAGTCCATATGTTTTTAAGTTATAAAGGATAGTTAGCATAGACAAAGCACACGAACTTAACATCAGGTTTTCAGGTTTTCATATACACATATACAGGCACAATTTTTCATTTTTATTTGAATTACATTCCATTCATGAATTAACTTGGGGGAAAACTCCAATCTTAATGGCATTATATTACCAAAATAATTTCTTCTAGAAAAATTCTGCTAAAAATGAGGCTATCATTTAAGACAAGTGAATTTTCCTATCTTTTCCACTATTCACAACGATTCTAAAAACAATTTCAGCGAAAAAATATAAGTGATCTGAATCATATTAGTGAATTATACTTAAAAACCACCACAATTTAGAAAACTATTATTCAATCGTATTACCATAATTATTAGAAAATGAAACACTGGCCACAGGCTTCCATAAGTGCTTAATTAGAAAAAGAGTTGGGCCAGTGAATCAGTTTACATTTATTAATCACCAGCAGGAAGCAAGTGACTATAACAGATGCTGCAGAAAAACATTACAGGGTATAACTATTCCCTAAAATGATTTATATTGATCATTAATATGCAATCAATGCAATGTATTGAAATGTGTTCAGGTATGATTTTTTTAACTAGGGAGCAATATCACTGATATATCTCTAATATAAAAAATAATGTAATCAGTTCTAATGAACTGTGA